TGAATCCGATTTGCAAGTATGTTATTGAGTATTTTTGCATCGATGTTCATGAGGGAAATTGGTCTATAGTTCTCTTTCTTAGTTGTGTCTTTGTGTGGCTTGGGTACCAAGGTAATTGTAGCCTTGTAAAAAGAGTTTGGCAGTGAGCCTCCCACTTCTATTGTGTGGAATACTTTGAGGAGTACTGGAATTAGCTCTTCTTTGAATTTCTGGTAGGATTCTGCCCTGAAGCCATCTGGGCCTAGGCTTTTTTTCGTTATGAGACTTTTGATAACTGCTTCTATTTCCATAGGGGTTATAAGTCTATTTAAATTGCTTATCTGTTCTTGATTTAGTTTGGGCAAGTGATATCTATCCAGGAACTTGTCCATTTCCTTTAAATTTTCAAATTTTGTGGAGTACAGATTTTCAAAGTATGCCCAGATGATTCTCTGGATTTCCTCAGTGTCCGTTGTTGTGTCCCCCTATTCATTTCTAATTTTGTTAACTAGCATGATCTCTCTCTTTTGTGTGAAATTGGACAGAGGTTTGTCTATTTGGTTGATTTTATCAAAGAACCAACTCTTTCTTGCATTGATTCTTCACAATGTTTTCCTGGTTTCTACTTGATTAATTTAAGCCCTCAATTTGATTATTTCCTGCTCCTCCTTGGTGAATTTGTTTCTATTTGTTCTAGGGCATTCAGCTGTGCTATTAATTCTCCATTGTGACTGTTCTCCAGTTTCTTCATGTGGGCGCTTAGTGCTATGAACTTTCCTCAGAGCACTGCTTTCAGAGTGTCCCATAAGTTTGGATATGTTGTGTGTCTTCATTCTCAGTGAATTCCAGGAAGTCTTTAATTTCTGTTTTCATTACTTCCTTTATCCAGGGATTATGCAATTGTGCATGATTCAATTTCCATGAATGTGTAGGGTTTCTGTGATTTGTGTTATTGTTGAATTCTAATTTCAATGCATGGTTGTCTGATAAGATACAGGGGGCTATTCCAATTTTGTTGTGTCTGTGTATGTTTGCTGTTTCCTATTATGTGTTCAATTTTAGCGAAGTTTCCATGCGGCGCCGAGAAAAAGGTATATCCCTTTGGGTTTGGGTGGAATGTTCTATAGATGTCTGTTAAAACCAGTTGGGTCATAACTTCTATTAGTGCTTTTGTTTCTTTGTTAATTTTCTGTCAGGAGGTCCTGTCTAGCGGTGAGAGCAGAGTGTTGAAGTCTCCTACTACTAGGGTGTGAGATTTTATGTACAATTTGAGCTTTAGTAATGTTTCTTTCACGAATGTGGTGGCCTTTGTATTTGGGGCATAGATGTTCAAAATTGAGACTTCATCTTAATGGACTTTTCCTTTGATGAATATGAAATGTCCTTCTTCATCTATTTTAGTTGATTTTAATTTGAAATCTAGTTTGTTAGATATTAAGATTGCTACACCCGCTTGTTTCATGGGTCCGTTTGATTGGAAAAACTTTTCCCAAACATTTACACTGAGCTAACATCTGTCTTTGATGTTGAGAGTAACATGATATCCACGGCTACTCAGACAATCTCTATGTGGAACAAAAATTTTATGACTGAAAAGGTATCATTAGATAGAAGACTGATCATATCTTTTAAAACAATATTGCTGACAAAGCTGGGTTTAGTGGACAATCTTTTCATCCTAGCACAAAGAACACAGATGCAAGCAGATCTCTCTGAGGTAGACGCCAACCTAGTCTATATAGTCAGATACAGGACAGCCAGGGCTATACTAAAAACCCTGCGTCAAAAAAGGATTGTGGCATTGTGACACACACCTTTAATCCCTGCACTCCAGAGGAAGAGGAATTAACATACAAATCTTTGTTTTTTCAGAACACCCTGATTTACAGAGCAGTCAGTGCGACACAGAGAAACCCTGTCTCAAAAGAGGAAAAAGGAGGGTGTGTCAGAAATCAGAAGGCATAGGATGACCTTTGACAGCCTGAGTTGAGACCCTATTACTGAGTGAGATGGTAACCAAGTAGGAAAGGCCTCATTTCAACTGGGATCAAGATACAAGATTGCAGAACCGAGAGGCTGGGCAAAGGATGTGTTAGTGCTCAAGGTCCAAATGATGAAAGACATCCTCAAATAAAACAAGTCCCCATTGGGTGAAGCTGTAGACTGGGAGGGGCCATTAAATGGGCAGGTGTGATGGAATGATGGGAAAAAGGTGGAGAAGTGGGAGGGGCCTGGAAAGAAAACATATTTAAGGCCAGGTTCTTAGCAGCGATCTGGAGAAGTCAGGAGAGCCTGCTGATAGCCAGGGTAAGTTGGCCTGTTAGGCTTCTGGGAACATTACATGAGTGGGATGAGTATACCATTTTGTACACCCAAATCAATGTAAAAGCATGAGCTATTGTTGGTTTTAGTTTTTCAGCATTTTTGAGTAAGTTTAAAATCTTAAAGTATTTTTAATTGCATTGATCTGGTAGCTATAGATGTAGAAGGACTTTTTTATTCATTTGTTTACTTTTTATATAATAGGTCACTTTAAAAGTCAGGGCTGTCCTATCAGGACTTCACACATTTTTCCTGCCTCTGACACCAGAGTACTGGGATGGAAGTCATGAATTACCACTCTAAGCAACTTTAAATGTTGTTTTATTGTATAATTTGTGTTTGTTTTTGTGAGGGGGTTGCTTTCTTGTGAGGGAAAAGGGGTTTGGTTTTCCCAGATGGTGTTTCTCTGTAGGATTGGAGACTGTCACAGAACTCTCTATTTGAAGAACAGGCAGGCCTCAGAACTCTCAGGAATCTGCCTGTTTCTGCCTCCCTAGTGCTGGGATTAAAGTTGTGTGTCACCACACAATGTTAGGAGTTATTGTTCTTCCATTTTTAACAGAGATCTGCCGGCTTCTGCCTCCCTAGTGCTGGGATTAAAGGTGTGTGTCACTATGCCCTGTAAGGGGTTCTTGCTTTTATATTTCTGCATTTCTCGCAGAGACACCTCTGCTTCTGCTTCCCCAATGGAGGGATTAATGGTGTGTGCCACCACACTGTGTTAGGGTTCTTGTTTTAGAGTTCATTTGAAAGCATTCGAGTTCATCGTGGCCTTTAGAATAATTCCAAGTTCACTTTAGAATATAGAAGACTAACAAAAAGGGAATTTTGAGAAACCTATCAATTGATAGATCTTGTAGAACAGAATTGCTTTCCTGTCTCAGGTTTATGGCAAGAGCAGATATAGGGTTAGTGTCTTTCAAGCTGTCAAAGAAGCAGGAGAAAATGTCCAGAAAGCATGCAGAATAAGTATTAAATTAGACAGAATGTCATCATGAGGTACTCAGTAGCATCTAAAGGGGGTAGAAAAGGCAAACTCAAAGGATCAGGGTCTCTAGTCTCAGCATGTATGAGGTAGAGGAACAGAAATTCAGTGTCATTCTTAGCCATATAATGAGTTTGAGACAAGCCTGCGCTACAGCAATCTGGTGTCAGTCTTTGATTCCCTGGAGTCATATACCTTAGAATCAACAACTCTGAAGCTTGGAAATGGCACAAAGTACAGGTCACACAGCCTGATAAACTGAGTTTTTTCCCGTGGTACACAGGATAAAAGTGGAAACCATATATTTTGTTTTCTTACCACTGCAAAAGTACTCTGACAGGATATTGTCCCAATGCATACACAAAAAGACATGTAATACCATTTTTTCTTTTTTTCATATTGTTTTATTTAACTATTTACACATGTCACTCTAAGTTCCCCTCTTCCCCTCCTCCCCCACATCCAAATCCTCCCAACCATTCACCCCCAATCCATCCCACCTCTGCTCCCCATGGAGTGCAAGGGCTTCCAGGAGGGGATTTCAGAGTCTGTCACATCATCCCTGCAGGGCCTAGGTCCTCCTCCATGTATCCAGGCTGAGGGAGCATCCCTCCACATAGAATGGAATCCCAGAGTCCATCTGCATGCCAGGAATTACTGCTCTACTCTTCAAGGTCCCAAAGATTGCCAAGGACTCCTCTCTGTCACCCAGGTTCAGTGGGAGGGAAGTCTGGATCAGTCCAATGCTGGCCTCTCAGTCATCAGTCTGGGGTCTATGTGTTACCACTTGTTCAGGTCACCTGCCTCTATGGGTTTCACCAGGCTAATATTGATTCCTTTGATCATCACTCCTCTTTGCAACTGGGTTCCAGGCATTTTTACAATATATTTTTCATTTTTTAACTCCCTGTATTTGGCTTGATGCCAAGATATCTCAAAAAGCGGAACAAGTCCTCAGCCAATGAGTATCATCTCTCCAAGATTCTGTAAATTTGAACATATGCATCCTTTGTAGAAGTCAAAGACATTTTCCAGGATTTCTTCAGTTACCTGGGGTCTTTCTATGAGGTTTCAAGAACAAGGCAGAGGTAGTTTGGAGCTTTAGTATTCCAGCACTTGATGTCACTGGCTCACATGGAAGCAAACTGAGAGTTTCTTAGTACAGATTAAGTGCATTTCAGTCCCTGAAAAAAGGATGCAAGAATATCTTCTGAATATCCATATACATAGGGACAATCTGTAAACAGAAACACAGACATAATCTTGGTGTCTGTGGAATATATGTTGAGAATGGTCTACAGAATGTGAGGAGACCTGTTAGAGATGCAGACTGAGTGAAGCTACAGAGACAAAAAGTAGAGGAGCAGTGCAGGTCCTAAATGGATATAAATTTAAGGGCATGTCCTGGGAGTTGAACTTCAACATTATTGGGGATCTGGGTAAGTCATAACATAGGTGGAGATAGGATTCTATCCCTCTGAATTGAGAAATGCGAGAACTAAGGAAATGGTGGTTTATATTGATTAAGTTTATTTAGTCTGTTTCAGCCAGTAGGATGCATTAATTCCCCAGCGAGGTTGAGGATAGGCAGGATTTTGAGGCCTGGTGATTGTGCATGTCTCAGCCCATTCAGCCTGAACTTTAGATCCTGTTGAACAGATGATGGCAATGTTTGGGTACTAACAATCATCTATATCTTTATAGGAATTTGAAAATGGCAGAGGGAAACAACAAAGAGGAGGCCATTCTCTTGAACAATGTTCACTGCCACAGGAGAGAGAAAGGGATGACTGACAAAGATTTTACCATAACCATATCTGGCTCTGATGAGGAAGGTATTCCAGTGCTACTTATCCCTGCTTTTGAGCAACATGAAGATGACTACGTGGATAATGATGTCATACTGACAGAAAACTATAAACCTCAGACATACCGAGCTAGTGTCTTCAAATCAGCTGCCCCGTGGCAAGATCTGAACAGATTGGGAAAAGAAAGTCCCAGAAAGTCTAGGGGAGACTGTGAAACAGATACCCACAACTGTTTCTACTACTGTAACAAATCATTGCTTGGTTTTGGAGCACAGGCTGATTCTGAGGATGAATATCATGGTTTTCTGAATCTTGATGGTGGTAAAAAAGTAGCCAAAACTGCACCAAGAATTAAGCAGACAGCAAACAACACAGTCAACCCCAAATTGGAGCAGAAAGACATTAGAGTGGGAGAAAATGGCCTGCTTTTCCCAGAAAGTGAGTCTCTGAAAGCTCAGAACCTATCATCTGAAGACTCAGAGACAGATTCATCAAATCCTGGAGAGACAGCTACTTCAGTAGATGACCAGGTCATTGAGGGAGAACATTGGCTTGATCACCCACCCTTCCAAGATCTGAATCCCCAGTCTCAGAAAAGAACAAACCAGGTTGTACCCAAAGAGACTCATTATGAAGCAGAAATGCACACAATGGTCTTGTGGCAAGATTTCTCAGAGCCTGCTTTTCCATATCCAGAACCCCAGCAGGAGGGAGTCCCTGTTCCTTCTTCTCCTCAGCTGGCCCTTCCTCTGGAAGAACTTGAAGATCAGCACTTAATACTTGATGAAGACCCTGGACTGGCTTTCTTATCAGGAACTCAGGAGGCCAATTTGAAAAGTACGTGGGGACAAGAAGCTGCTAAAATAGATCCAGAACTTGTTACATTATTAGTGAAAGAAACAGAAGCAAGATTTCCAGATGTAGCAAATGGATATGTTAAAGAGATCATTCATTTGAAGCATTACTATGATTTGAATGTACTTTGTAATTTTCTTCTGGAAAACCCAGATTATCCAAAGAGAGAAGACCAAGTTATTATGTACCCCAGGAGCGGCCTGCTTGCTACTCAGGGTGATGTGATGTTGCCCAAAATAGACATTTTTGACTATTCCAAACTGACTCCACTTGACCAGGGATGCATCCTTCAAGCTGCTGACCTCTTGATGGCTGAATTCAAGATGCTCAGCAGTCAAGACATCAAGTGGGCCCTGCAGGAGCTCAAAGGACACTATGCAATCACGAGAAAGGCCTTCTCTGATGCTATTGAAAAATGGCAGGAGGAATCATCTGAACCCAGTGGAAAACAGAAAAAGAAGAAAGAAATGAATCAGTCTTCTTTCATAGATTTCAAATTTGAACAGGGCAATATAAAAATAGAAAAGAGGATGTTCTTTTTGGATAACAAGCGTCAACACTGTAGATCCTATGACCAGAAAGACCTCCTGCCAGCTGTGCAGCAAGAGCAGGAATTCTATGAGCAGAAAATCAAAGAGAAGGCAGAGCATGAAGACTTTTTGCTTCCTCTGCAGATGAATGCAAAACCATATGAAAAGGATGGACAGCTGATTGAGTGTCGTTGCTGCTATGGGGACTTTCCTTTTGAGGAGCTGACACAGTGCTCCGATGCTCACTTGTTCTGCAAAGAATGTCTCATCAGATATGCCCAAGAAGCAGTATTTGGGTCTGGACAGTCAGAACTCAGCTGCATGAAAGGTAGCTGCACATCTTCCTTCCCAATTAGTGAACTGGAGAAGGTGCTCCCCCAGACCATCCTGTGCAAATACTATGAATGGAGAGCTGAAGAAGAAGTCACTGCAGCCTATGCTGATGAGCTCATCAGGTGCCCCTCTTGTAGCTTCCCTGCTCTGTTGGACAGAGAAGTGAAGAGGTTTAGGTGCCCTAATGTTCACTGTCTGAAGGAGACCTGTAGTAATTGTCAGGGTCTCTGGAAAGAGCATACCAGTCTCACCTGTGAAGTGCTGGCCGAAAAGGATGACGTCCTGTACCGGACATCTATTGAAGAAAATATGACTGCTGCTTGCATTAGAAAATGCCCCCAGTGTGGCACCAGCCTCATCAAATCTGAAGGCTGCAACCACAAGTCTTACCGCTGTGGTGCCCATATGTGCTACCTCTGTCAAGTTTCTATCGATGACTGTGACCATCTCTGCCAGCATGCCCTCTCTCCAGGAGTGTCTTGCCAGGAAAGTTCCAAGTGCTCCCTCTGGACTGACCTCACTGAAGATGATGAAAAATTTATTAAGAAAATTCAAAAAGGGCCTGAAGAGGAACAGAAAAGTAAGAAGGGAGAAAGCACATTCAAACGAATCAGCCCACCACTGGAGAAGCCAGCTGAGAATGTACAGCACCTGGGAGCCCTGCCATGGCCTGTCCCACAGGAACTGCACCGACAGATTCCACCATATGCCATTATGCATAGAGTTTTTCCCCGACCACCTGTATGCCTCATGTATAACAATGTCACCATCAACTTATGTGCTGTGCCAGTAACCTACGTACCATCTCTGCCCAACTTGTGTGTCAACTATGACTTAGGAAACATGCAAGCGCCGCTGGATGGTGGCAATCATGATGAAGATGATGGTGAGTGATGATGATGATGATGTGGAGAATGCTAGAGGTAATGATGGATATAGTGTTGATGGTGATGATTATGTTGGAGATGCTGGTGATGATGATATTGATGACAGTGATGATGAAGGTGGTAATTATGGTTATTTTGAAGGATGTGAAGATTATGGTGGTGATGATGATGGTGGTGGTGATGGCTATATTGAACACAGTGTCTATGATTTTCATGATGATTTGGATGGTGATAACGGCGGTATTGATGATGATTATTGGGATGATGATTATTGGGATGATGATTATTGGGATGATGATTATTGGGATGATGACTATGATTGTGGTGGTGATGGTTATTGGGATGATAGTGATAGTGAATCTTATGATGGAGATGATAATGATGGTGATATGTTGAAGGAAATGATGATGATGATGATAAGGAAGGTGATGATGATGGTGGTGGTGGTTGAGGTGTTATGAAGATGGTGATAACTATAATGGAGATGGTGATGATGATACTGGCAACACAGGAGATCTTCTCTGTATCACCCAAACTGTGCTACTGATTGAATGACAGTGACTTGGAAATATGGACATATGGAAATATGCATGACAAGATCCTCCAAGGACATAACTGTTAGGTTATTTTCTTCCCTGCACCTTCATGGAGATGCCAAAGTTGGGTGGTAACTGAAAGTACTACCCTTCCAAACCCCATGATCCTCTGAAATGGAAAATCTGTACTGGGTTTACCCAGTATGTCTATTTCAAACTACAGCAAGAGGCCAGATGAGCCAGGCAGTTAATATGGCTGCTGAAAGAACCAGAGCTGCTCAGAACATGGCCCTCAGTGAGGAAAAGTAATGATCTTGGTCATGGAAATGCAGTCTGTCTGTGGCTGAAAAAGAAGGCTCCTACTGTCTGTGCCACCAAGGAGCTTTGTCAGTGTCACTCCCAGAACCTGTGTGACAGTAGTACTTGAGGGGCAATGGATGGACCAGCAGGAGTCCCTGAGGCAGCTAACATCCTAAGATGTGAGATCCAGGCTTCTGACTGTTCTGAGAAACTGAATAACGACTCCCTGTGTATTTGTCTTAAACCTAGAGACAATTTAGTATTTGCACTTAGCAAAATATTTCAAAGTAAAAATAGCATGATCTCATTTTGTACAAAGGAAAAATTGAAGTGAATTAAGTGTTTTTTTACTTTTGTTAGTAAAAATATAGATGCCAAGTCTGTTTAAACTACTGTATAAAAAGACTGTATTACATGTAACTTGAATTTCATATAAAAGTTTGTGAATGCATAATAAAAGATTATTTAGTCTAATATTTCAGAAGATTTTTTATCTGGTATACCTGGTTGATTTCATAGTCACTATACAAATAGACTGCACTTGATTTTAAACTTTTCTAAGTACAGATTTCTAATTAGCTTGTTTACAGGTCTGTGCCCATGGTCTGACTCTTATGTGCCCTCTGATGCTAAGAGTGTATGACTGTTCTTCATAATTGCATGTGTTGTTGCTGGATGGTTCTTTTCCCTTTTGAGTTAGGGTGTCTGGTAGCCCAGGCAGGATTTGTAGCCACTAGGTAGTTAATGGAGGAATGACTTTCTACTTATGTGTTTTCTTTCTCTACACCAAGAGCACAGGCCTGCTGCCCGAACATGGAATGTAGAAGCAATAAATTTTCCTAAGTTCTGTAACCATTTATCTAATTGGCATTTAATTATAAAACTACAAAATGAAGGCTGGGAAGTGGTGGCACATGCCTTTAATCCCAGCACTCAGGAGGCAGAGGCAGGCAGATTGCCGCGAGTTTGAGGCTGGGCTGGATCGCCAGCCTCCAAAACAATAAAGAGAAACCCTGTCTCGTAAAAACCAAAAAAAGAGACTACAAAATGAGACAACATACCAAGCTCCAAATTGTCCTACAGTTAGCACCCAGTGGGCCAGGCCAAGATTCTCAGCTTCCATTTTATACATAATCCCGTCATAACGTGTTAATTTGCATACAGTGATTAAACATTGTAGAATCCAGATTATTACACCTTAATGCTTTCACTCAGCAGGGTAAGGGATGGTAATCCACATGAGATAAAGGACTGCCTGCGATGCGCCAAAAGTGGGTGGAGAATTTGCATTTAAGGAAGATATTTAAGCACTGGTCCCTGGAGGAATAGTGAAACACACAGGGATCTGAACAAGGTGAATCCAACTGCCTATTTCCTGGAAGCTGAGTTCAAAAGGAAATGTGTGTATGATAGGTATGTTATTGAGTCTGTCTTAATGTAGGGAAGAGGGAGGTAAAAGAGTAATAGCCTTGGAAACACTATGGAGTTTTGTTTGTTTAAAGTTTAAACCTCACCATATTCCCAGCTTGCTGGAATCAAGGTCCTGTGTAAATTCAGGAGATGTCTGAATGTCTATATTCCTGTGGTAACAATGATATTCACATGAGGACAGAGATTGGGGTAGGTAGATCAAGAGTGCTGTTGAGACCCCAGAATAGTGTTCCACATACTATTCTTTTGTGCAGTGTTCTCCTGCCACAACACAGACCTGAGCATGATGTCATATATCAAACATGCAGAAAATGCTAGGTAGGCTTGAGTGTAGGATCTAGAGAATGTGGTGGTCCAAGGAGGCAACAAAAGCACAGAGTGTTCAGCCAGGAACAGGATCTGATATGAAAGAACATTTTGAAAAGTTCATGTACCTGAACAGGAGTAATGAATGACAATGACCCAATAATTGGCTTGAAGTAGTACCATTTCAAGGTATGGCCTCTCATGTGTTTCCCGTTCTTCTAGTCAGGTAACCGATACCAAGCAGCTACCTTCAAACTTCCCTGACTCAAGAACTTCTAGTGCCTATCCAGTACTGTAGCTATTTGAACCAGTAAAAGGTTTTAGAAATGTAATTATGATGTATCTAAGGTTGGAATTTCATGCCCATTAGTCAATTAGAGTACCTCATTGGTGCAATGCAGAGGGATTAGTGGCCTAGACATTCGGTATCTTCTTCAATCTCTAGCTTCAAGTAGAACCTCCCTTATTTCCTGTGTTTCAGGTACAGATCATCCTGTATTCCTGCTTCTTGGGGCTTAGATGATTAGAGATCTGGGATGGGTGCTTGATATTGACCATGGTCTAGGATTTTCATCTAACATCTTCAGATTTGGGTCCTAAATGGGGCACCTGACCTCTACTGATATCTGCTCTCCTTTGTATTTCAGGCTATGGTTCAGGATTATATGAGCTAGGGACAATCACAAGAAGACTGGAGAACTTCCTGGGAAGTCTGTCTGTGGATCTCACAACAGACCAACCTGTCCAGAAGGTGGTGTTCCACATGTTATCTGTTGAAGATTAAATTCCTTTTGTGAAATTCCTGAGCTATAAAAGCATCAATTCATTTGAAGCAGAGTCTTTAAAAGAGTAAAATAAAAGTCTCCTTGTTCCTCAAGGTGCAGCATCACAATCAAGTCTCCAATTACACTCAGATCCTGAAGTGAGGAAATGACATAAAGTGTTCCAATGACTGTCACCAGAAAGTCTCCCAGTGTATGTTGATCACCCAACAATGATACTGGATCATAACCCCCTAATCACCAAATGCCTTCGAACTCATCAGTTAGTTCTTTTTTTTTTTTTTGCTTTTATGAGACAGGGTTTCTCCGTATTGTTTTGGAGGCTGGCGATCCAGCCCAGCCTCAAACTCGCGGCAATCTGCCTGCCTCTGCCTCTCGAGTGCTGGGATTAAAGGTGTGCAGCCACCATTGCCCGGCATCATCAGTTAGTTCTTGTTGTATGTATTCGCTAGGTTCCATCTTTCCTGTTGATAAATATGGTGTAGATAGTTAGTCATGAAGCTCCAAGGACACAACAGAGGAGCATACTGTTTACTCCAATGGAAAAAAACTCACACTCCAAGGATTTTACCATTACTAGTTACCCCATGTTGGAGTAAAGTATTGAGCCAGCCCCACTGAATGGTTTGACCTAAGTATGAAATGTGTATATGTCGCACATTTGTCCTTTTCCCACCGTGATGTAAATTGTTCTGCTTCCTGTACATTTACCACAATCTCCCACATTTGGTGATTTTTCAATGCTTAGCGCAGCTTGAGACTTGTGGGCAGGGGACCTGTGCTCATGCATGGGTGTCCTTAGTTATTCTTCACTCTGGGCACAGCTATGGAGCCCTATCATCACCTAGGCATGTTCTCATTGATCCAGATTTTAGGGACTCTTAAAAAAACACCAGATATTCTATCTGAAGCTTCCATTGTCATTTTGTGTCAAATCATTAACTATCCTAACTTCCTTCTTCCTTTTAGAGCACCAGATTTTTTTGAGGTAGATGCTAGAGCTATGATTTCCATCCAGCATGTTCTCCAGGGAACATAGGTTTTCTTATCATTTGTTTCTTTTGTTTTGTTTTTGCTTTTTTAACGACTTCCAAACTCAAATGAATACTCTAAAGTTATTTCTCGGTCAATCCATTCTGAAGATCTCATATCTGTCTTTGCTTCTGACATTAGAGGGTCTGTTTCTCCCAACACATCCATTGTGGGATCCATTCCCAGTCTCATCCCCAGGCTGCAAGCTTCTCTCCATGATGATCTGGACATAATGGATGACAGGTGTAGTACCCACAAAGACCCATTTGATGGTCAATCCCTCACTGTAGCTTCTTACTTGTATTATATACAGCTCATTCTGTCTTCATACTACTTTCATTCCATCATCTCCGAAATCTGTGTTAGGTGATGGATTGAGAGCAATGTCCTAGAATTTCTTCCAGTATCTTCAGATTTGGGACCTAAATGGAGCACTCATACACTCCTGATCTATTTTGCTTCTTGGCTGTAGATCTTGTTCAAGAACAAGCATGCTAGAGTAAATCAGCAAAAGTTCCAAGAACTACTTGTTTATGCTGGCTGTGGATCTCAGGAGAGGTCTGACTCCCCAATGTGTACTGTCTCTCTTGACACATCACTCACTGCAGATTGCCTGTGCAAGACCCATTCAAGAATCAGCTGTTTTCTTCAACTTAGCCCCTCAAGAATCTTCTCACACCATGAACCCAATGTCCCCATTGTTGGTAACAAGGTTGAGAAGAAATGCTTCCAGAAGTGTTCAGGTAGGGAGAGGCAGCATAGGCAAAAAGCAGAGAACTACCTCAGGAACTTGTCCACCAATCACCTCTGGCAGGATTGGTCAGCTTGGATTCTATATGTGAGTGAGCATCAGGTGTAAGTACTCCCCTTGTATTTAGCCATTCAAATATTGTCCCACACTCGGAGTCTTTTTTCTCCATGTCAGACCATCACTTGTGACTTCTCCTCAACTCTTCCCCTTGAATACTAGATTAGAACAGGCATCAATTTTCTTCAAAATTGATCAGGCCTGTGAGTTAATCAACAACAGGAAGAAGAGATCTACAGAGCAGAAGCAGCTGAGGAAGGATAGAGAACTATCGTTTTAAGGAGGAATGGATTCCTGTCCTTATCATGGCCTCTCCTTGTGAGCATACCATGTTACAGAGACAGTTGTCAGTTCTCCTCCACCGGTGTGCCACTCCATTACTTCTCCAGACCCAGAGTCCATACTAACCATATGGGAGAGCCCATGTAGTGTCAGCTCTCTTCCTCCCCTCAGTCCAACTATTTTCCCAGAACCTCATTCCATCATCTCCATTAATGAGACCAATGAGTATCTGTTGGGGCCTAGCCCCCGCAGGGTTTCTGAGTTGTTTGTCAGCTGACAGCCACAGGTGCATCCTGTTTTCTGGTCCTGGCTGATTGTTTAGCTGTGGGTGCCTGCTTCTGCTTTGATCATCTACTGGATGAAGTATCCAGGAATGGCAACCAAGGTAGTAATCAATCTCATTAAGAGTAAGGCTTCAAATGCAGCCTCTCCACCACTGCCTTGGTTCTTATTTGGGGTCATCCATTTGGATCCCTGAATATATCCCGAGTGCCAGTTCTCTCTCGAAGTGTATACTAGCACCCTCTATCAAGGCTTCCTCTTTTTCCCTCCAGCATACCTCTCAGAACACTTGATCCCCCCTCTTATCCCTCCTCCTCTTCTCCCACTCTCCTCTTTCCACTTCCCCTCTTTCTCCCACCTCCCCCATGCTCCCAATTTGGTCAGAGTTTCTTTTTCCAGTCCCTTTGTTTGGATGAACCATGAATTCTTCCTTTGGGGCCCTTCTTGTTTCCTAGTTTCTCTGGTGGTGTGGATTCTAGGCTGGTAGACTTGTGCTCTATGTCTAATATCCATGTATGAGATAGTACATAAACTGCTTGCCTCTCTTTGATTGAGTTACCTCACTCAGGATGTTTTCTTTCAGTTACATCCGCTTGTCTTTGAATTTCAAGATTTCATTTTTTCCAATGATTAATACTCCATTGTGTAAATGTACCACATATTCCCCATCCATTCTTCTGTTAAGGGGCATTTGGTTGCTTCAAGGTTCTGGCTATTATGAACAATGCTGCTGCCAACATAGTTGGATATATTGCCTTGTTTATGAATGTGCATTCTTTAGGCATTTGCCCAGGATTGCAATTGCTGGATCTTGAGGTATTCTGCTTCCCATTTATATGATATATATATATATATATATATATATATATATATATATATTGCTTACCTATTCTTGTTTTAATTTTGGCACATGATAACTATCCAGAAAATTGTCCATTTCCTTTACATTTTCCAATTTTTTGGAGGAAAGATGTTCAAAGTATTAGCCGATGAGTCTTTGGATTTCTCCTGTGGCTGTTGTTATGTCCCTATTTTCATTTCTGATTTGGTTAATTAGCATGTTCTCCCTTTTGCTTAAGTTGGTTAACTTTTTGTCTATCTTGTTGATTTTCTTAAAGAGCCAGATCTTGGTTTCATTGATTCTTTGAATTGTTTTCTTTGATTCTATTTATTGATTTCAGCTCCATATTTGATTATTTCCTGGCATGTAATCCTCCTGGGTGACTTTGCTTCTTTTAGTTCTAGAGCTTTCAGGTGTTCTCCAGTTTCTTCATGTGGGCAATTAATACTATGAACTTTCCTTTCAGCACTGCTTTCAGAGAGTCCCATAGGTGTGGGTATGTTGTGCTTTCATTTTCATTGAATTGTGATGGTCTGATAAGATTCAGGGTGGTTTTCCAAGTTTTTTATATCTGTTGAAGTTTGCTTTATTGCTGAGTATGTTTTCTGTTTTTGAGTAGGCTCTATGTGGAACTGAGAAGAATGTATATTCCTTTGTGTTTTGATGGGAAATTTTATACATGTTTGTTAAACCTAATTGGATAACACCTTCTGATATTTCCTTTGTTTCTTTCTTAAGTTTCAGTCTGGTAGTGCCATCCAGTGGAGAGAGTGGTGTTTCTATAATGTTTACATAGTCTCCCAGTATAAGTGTGTGCGGTTTAATGTGTGATTTGTGTTTTAGTAATGTTTCCTTAACAATATTGGTGATTTTCTATTTGGTGCAAAAATGTTGAGAATTGAGACTTATCTTGATGGATTTTTCCTGTGATGAATATGAAATACCATTCTTCTCTTTTGATTACTTTTAATTTGTGTTCTAATTTGCTAGATATTATGATAGGTATACCTGTTGGCTTCCTAGGGCCATTTGCTTGGAAAATCATTTCCCAACTATTAACTCTGACATAATGTCTGTCCTTGATATTGAGGTCTGTTTCTTTTATACAGGAGAAAGTTTCATTTTGTCTTTCTATCCTTTCTTTTGGTGTGTGTCTTTTTAGATATGAGTTAAGACCAATGATATAGAGGGATATTAATTATCATTGACTGTTGATTCTTGTTTGCTTTGGATTTGCTTTTGGTGGGGGTATTTTGTGTGTGAGTTTTTCCCCTATTTCTTGATTTAGTAAAGTGTGTGAGGTATTGTTAATTCATTACATAACTCCAAGTCTATGAGTCCTCCCATGTATCCAGAACCTATTGTATCCATTGCTAGATATAGTCTGAAGTGGCCTGTAGATACTGAGTAACATCTGGTATACTGGCCACATCTGAGGTGGGTGTTGGAGTTTCCATTGAGGCTGACCTTCAGCCACTACTGGGTCAGTCTTGGCTTTATCTACTCTGGTATGATGAAGGTAGGAAGCAGCAGCAGGAGTTGAACATGAAGCAAATTCTCTTGAGGCTACACGTGGAGTCTCCTATGTCCTTGTCATCATGGAGACAAGATTATATGCTGGGGTTGAGTTTGGGAATGGAGTAAAAAGTGATTGCATCTAGAGTTATGGTCTTTACATTGGAAGATACAAATACAGGTATGTTACACAAGAATGGGAGGATGGGAAAAATCTTGAGAGCATCCACTTGCCTCTGGCG